CTCCTCCTCCTCCTCCTCCTCCTCCTCCTCCTCCCCCCCTTCCGCCCGACCCGACTCACCGAGGCAGGATTCCCCAACGCCCACTGGCTGCAAAAACTGCGTGCGAACCTCCCCCCCGGGGGGCCCGCCGTGGCTCCGCCCCGCGGGCCCCCTCCTGCGCTTGGGCGCGCGAAGCCTGGCACCTCAACTGAGGCAAGGGGCACTCTGTGATGTGCGTGTGCAGTGGGATTTTTTTCCTGCAAACTCACTCAAGCAATCCTCGCGGCCACGCTTGGTTTATATTAGGGCGACGAGATCTATACATATCCACTGCTCCTGGCCAGGCCAATCCTGGGCCCAAGAGCTGTGTATACGCCCTCCTGGCTTGGCCAGGGAGGCATCTACACCGCTCCTGGGCCCAGGATGGGCCTGGCCAGGAGCAGCGGATATGCATAGATCTCGTCGCTCTGTGATGTGCGTGTGCAGTGGGATGGTCGTGGCCTCCTTTGGAATGACCCCAGCCCGACCCTGGCAAATCGCAAACTGGGCAACCACGTGTACACCCTACCCCTGCAGGTCAGATTTCTGAAAACGGGCAGCGCTGCAGAATGTGAATGGTATGTCTGAAGCCAGGTGAACCCCAGCAGGGGTGTGATACCCTGGCGTCGAATGGACCCGTGGGCAAACGGTCGCAGACCAATCGAACCTGGCGTACCCCCCATTCCTTTTTTCCTGGCCCGGTCACGTACCCAGGCATGATTGTTTCAATCTGCGGCCGGACCCCTCCTCTGGGGGCATGCAATTTGGCGTCCTGTATTTGTTGTTGGTGGCCCCAGGGTCCCATGATGGGCACAGGATTCAGAAATCAAAGAAAAAAAATCCGATTGAAAAAAAAGGAATGGCTCCCCCAGAAGTCTGGACCTGTTCCCAGAGACAAGTTCTCATCCGCCCAAAAAGGAAAAAACCCAAAGCCTCTCGTCACGATTTTCAACAGCGATGGGAGGCGAGGAAACTTTCCCGCACCCCCAGATCGCCGCGCTGCTCGGGACGATGACCGTGCCGCCCGCCCCCACGAAGGCGCGCACCTGAGGGGCAACTTCAGGGGGGGACCAGCTCAGAAGGATAAACATCGAGCTGGAATCGGCGACACACCGCCGATAGATCGACGATGGTCCCCCGATAGCGAATCGGCACGCTCCTGAGCGGAGCTGCCTATCGGGCCCCTATGGGCGATGAATGGGCGATTGGGGGCCGTCCATGCATCCCGCCCACCCCCCCCTTGAAGTTGTCCATGACTTTCCGCTCGCTCGCTGTCGGACCATGACTCGGGCCTCTGGCGGACGTTCGGGACGACTCGGGCACCCCTGGAACGCTCCAGGCGAGGCGCCGCCCGAAAACAATGAGGATGACGGCAAATAGCAAACCTCAAAGCCCTGAAGGTAATGATCTGTTTACAACGTGGACCCCCGAGGTCTGGACCCTTTCCCCCAGACATGTTACTAACTCTGAGTCGTTGTTTGACAGTCCCTGGGCCGGCGAGGGCCCCATGCGGCCGAAACAGCCAAAAACCTTCCGACGTGATCTGGTCGCGACGCGACCACGTCGCCAACGAAAACGTCCGTCAACCTCAGAAACCTCGAAGCCCCTGATGCGAGTCCAAGACCTGTTTCGAACCTTTGGGACCGAAAGGAGTGAATTCTTGAGCGGCCCGAGAACACCAGAGCCGTGTCGCTTTTGACATCACGCGTGCCAGAACAGGCAGCAGAAACTGGAACGCTCCCTGGGGGTCACGATACCGAGGGGGGAAGGACCATAAATCTTTCGTCGCCGGGGGCACCCTTCCCCCCCGCTGAGAAAAAGACGGGGGTGGGGGGAAGGGTACTCACTTTTTAGCTATGGGGGTAAGATGACCTTGGAGGCGGCCAAGGGGTCTTAGCTGGATGGGCCCAAAGACAATATGTCAAGACGGGGGCAGGAACGACAATCTTTTCAAAATCAATCGCCGGACAATTCCCGGGGTCCATCTAATGCAGGTCTTCACCCTGGACCCGTTCTCTGCTGCCCTGGGTCCCAGAAGCGGACCCTGGAGAACGAACAACAACAACAACAACAACAACAACAACAACAACAACAACAACAGCAGCAGCAGCAGCAGCAGCAGCAGCAGCAACAACAACAACAACAACAACACATCAACAACAACAACAACAACAACAACAACAACAACAACAACAACAAAAAAAATCGAACCCACAACGCCGAATCTCGACCCCACCTTCATGCTTCCCGGAACCAGTGCTTGGCCAACTCAGACCCCCAGCCGACTCCAAACATGGAAGCGCCCCCCGTCCAGCAGAGCACTTCCAAGAGAGCCGCGCGTCGCCAGGACGCACTGGCCAGGTCCAGCCCTTTCAGGTTGGACGCCCGAGTGATCCGGGGTAACTCGGGTCCGGGGTAACTCGGGTTCGGGTTCCCGAAAAACGAACCCGAGTTATCCCTGACCCGAGTTACCCCTGATGATTCGGGGCTCTGATTTCAGGCACAGTCGGAGGCGCCACCCGCCCGCCACTGGACTGCACGTGTCCACGCGGCGGGGACACCGGCACGTGGCGCGCACAAGAGGTGAGCCTTCGGCCACCTTGGGCTGCATCGGCGATACATCGACGACGCATTGGCGATGCATCGTCGACGTCGGCCCTGCATCGGCGCCAGCGGCGTGGATAAGTTCTTGCTCCGCATCCAGCCGCATCGCCGATGCATCGGCGATGAAGCGCGATACCCCGACCCCATCTTCTCGGACCCTACTTTCCGGGGACGGCAAGCGGCCACAACAACATCGATGACGCACCCAGAGGACTGTCTTGCGCATGCCAGCAGTCGTCGGAGCACCAAAACCAGCTTAGCACTGAATGTGTCGAACAGAAGCACAACCGCGAGGCTGGTGGTTTTTCCCCATGAGTCCACTTAGTGGTGATGGTGGCCCTTTGCTAAGAAAGCCTGGACATCTGAACCGGAGGGGGGGTGGGGGGGGCCAGGCGCCTGCACGGCGCATCGGCAAACAAAGCTACTTTGAGCTGCGCGAAAACACACAATGGCTATGCTACGCTACCCGTGGGCGCAGGAGGAGGGAAGGGATGAAGAGAAGTCGTGCCCACGCACTCCAAGAAAAAATTGTTAACTCAAGACCTGGACACCGGAACGCCGAAACAAAATACTCTTACGATGACATAGGGACGGCACACGGGGGCATACGCGGGCCACAGGCGCGGCACGGCGAAATCAACCCATGCAGTTCCGCCGCTGATGTGTTGAAACCCCCGAGCTATCTGGAATAGCTCCAGTCTGGGTAACTCCAGCTCGTGTTCCTGACGCACGGATCCAGAATTACCCCTGACAACCTTCAGCCCCGCTGATTGTGTTTGGGCGCCCTCATTAACCGGGATTTCTCCAATCCGAAGCACCTCTGGACTGGGGTTAGGTCGGGCATGTCCTCCTACAGGCGGAGTTTCCAGGAAAAATCAAAAGTAGCGAAAAAGATTCAAGCATCATCAAAAATAATCGAAAAATCTGCCCAATGCTATTTTTTTACTAATTTTGACAACTCCTCCTGTATGCCCGACTTACGACTGGGGCTCCGAAGCACGAACCAGCAGTCCTACCCATGACATTCGCCGGCCCTGATGATGCGGAACTCCGAGTTCGGGAAGCCCTGACTCTGTCGTGACGGCGATCGACCCCCAGAGGTCTCGACCCACTCCCCAGAACCAGCTCTTCACCCGGAATCGTCGCTTGACAGTTCCGGAGCCCAGTACAGTCGGACTTGATTGGAGAGGTCACGCGAGAGGACACAAGACCCTTCTGAGGGCCACGTTGCCACAGAAATGCAGGAGGCATGGGTCGCAAGACACAGGACACGAGGGAGCCCTTGATCTGGCAGGGTCGACCTGCTAATCCAGGCCGCCTGTAAGGGGACCCCAAGAAGCCCAAAAACGCTGGCGAGGAACCGCCCGCCGTGACTTCCTCGTTGCTCGACGGGGCTCGGGGCAGACGTGCCCAGATCCCAGGGAGGGCCTGGCTCACGGGGGAGGGGGCAGAAGCGTCCTGGGATCGGCGAGGGAGGGATGGAGGAGGAGGAGGAGGAGGAGGAGGAGGAGGAGCAGCAGCAGAGGAGGAGGAGGAGGAGGAGGAGGAGGAGGAGGAGGAGGAGGAGAGGAGGAGGAGGAGGAGGAGGAGGAGGAGGAGGAGGAGGAGGAGGGAGAGGAGGCAGAGGAGGGAGAGGAGGAGAGGAGGAGGAGGAAGAGGTGGAGGAGGTGGAGAGGAGGTGGAGCAGCAGCAGCAGCAGGCTGCCCTGCGCACCAGGCCCGCCGCCAGGGAGGCCGCCCCGCCGCGCGCCGCGTCGCCCACGACCGCCACGGGGAGGCTCCGCAACGGCGCGGCCGGCCCGCGGCCCGGCTCCGCCGCGGGGGGCGCCCCGGGCTCGGCGCTCCGCCGCCGGGCCTCGCCGAGGAACCAGTCGTGGACTCGCGCCAGCACCTCGTCTTTGGGATGGAGGAGGAGCAGAGGGGGAGGAGGAGGAGGAGGAGGAGGAGGAGGAGGAGGAGGAGGAGGAGGAGGAGGAGGACGGGGGAGGAGGAGGTGGAGGAGGAGGAGGAGGAGGGGGAGGAGGAGGAGAAGGAGGAGGAGGAGGAGGAGGAGGAGGAGGAGGAGGAGGGAGGAGGGGGAGGAGGAGGGGAGGAGGAGGAGGAGGAGGAGGAGGAGGAGGAGAGGAGGAGGAGGAGGAGGAGGGGGAGGAGGAGGAGGAGGAGGAGGAGGAGGAGGAGGAGGAGGAGGAGGAGGGGGAGGAGGGTATCGGCAGTCGCCGCAGGCAGGAGCAAGGAAAGGCGACACCAACACCACCAGGGAGAGGAGATGCGAGTCGGGGGCGCGCAAACATGGATTAGCGATCCATGGATTTGGCGCGCGGTCGCCAAATACATGGATCGGGGAAGTGCCCTCCCCAAAATGTGGCTGGTGCCGCCTCGTTCGGCGGCGGAAATCCTTCGCTCGGCGGCGGAAAGCCTCGATTTCCCATGGATACGGGACCCATCGCAAATCCACGCCCCCTTGATCCATGCTTGCGATCGCCTGAGAGTGGGAACTAGGAAAGGCGACACCAACACCACCAGGGCGAGGAGACGCGAGGAGGCAAGGGGGGTCTCCCTGGTGGTGCGGTCCCCCCTTCTCGCTCGCGCCAGCACCTTGTCTTTTTTAGAGAGCAGAAAGTACATCCCCATAATTCGCCGGCCCAACGGGCCAGAGGCGTGCTAAGATCTCCGGTAACTTGTTAACAATATTTCTAGTTCGCGCGCGCGGAGCGGCCCCTGGGGCCCCCCGGACGAAAAGTACCCCGGCAAGGTCCCGAGAGAAGCCCGGGAGAAGCCACCAGACCACCCCAGGGGAGGGTATTTTTCGACACCCCTCACGAGGATCGTGGCCTCCGAGGGGGGAGCCGCAATCGACTACCCCCAAGAGCCCCCCAAGAGGCCCTGGGGACCTCCAAAACGCCGCCAAGGAGCCCCAAGAGACTCCCAAGAGGTCCCCAAGAGGCCCCCAAGAGGCCCTAAAGAGGGCTCCAGGGCCGGCGGCATGAGCGAAGCGATTAAATAAGCTCCCCTGCAAGCGAAGCCGCGTAGTAAACGCACCCATGGAAGGAATCGAACAGGGCAGGGCTGTGTAAGAAACGCCCAGGGCCGTGTAGCAAACGCCAATTGTGTCGGGGTCTGGTCGGTTTTTGTTCCTCCCTTGACTGGAAAGGCGACACCAACACCACCAGGGCGAGGAGATGCGAGGAGGCAAGGGGGGTCTCCCTGGCGGTGTGGCCCCCGCCCCTCTCGCTCGAGACGTCCCCAGCCTCCAGCTCGGGGAGGCAGCGTGGACCTCCTCGCTGCAGGTGGGCCCCCGGGTGGGGATGGTATCGCCTCGCCTCCCTCCGAAGGAGGGTGGGGGGGAAGATCGAGGAGGGGGGAGGCAAAGGGCTCCGAGGCTCCCGAAGAACTGGGGTCAGGTCGGGCATGTCCCCCCCCCACAGGCGGATGTTGGACTGAAGAGCGACACGCCCGATTGAAGACCGGGGCGGCCCGCCTGTGCTTGTTTCTGGCCTCCGGGGGGGCCGCAACGGGCCCCGCGACACTCGAAGTGCCCAGGCAGACCCCGCGGGATCAGGGAGGCAGGGATCGGGGGCGGGATATCGCCGCATCGACTGTATGAGATTACGGCACTCCCCCCGCCTGTATCGCGGCTCAGTTCGCAGTCGTGCGCTGTGCACATGCTCACCCGCCGGCGCAGTCACGCTGCCCAGCCGACGGCGCAAAGAGTGTTTGCGGCACTGCGAAAGTAAGCACCAAGGTTTGCGGAGCCTCTGCTTAGTTTTGCAGCGCGCACGTCGCACATGGAAAACGGCTCGGACTGAAGAAGCAGCCTCGGGGAAAGGGTCGGGAATTCCAGGGGGGGCCCGGAACGCGCGAACAGCCGCGCGGCGTAAGCGCGCAGCGGAACAAGCGAAGCGCAAGTTCGCGGAGGGAAGAGATGAGGGAGGGGGAGGGAGAAACCGAACGACACGAAAAGCTTGACTGCCCTTGCAACCTGGGTCGCAGGGCCATGCTGGACTGACACAGGAACCTAGTCCTAGACAAAATATTACTCATGGCCCCTGCGAGTGACTCTCACGGATCGCCAACGCGCCAATTCAAGAAGCTCTGTGGCGAGTTCGCGCGTCCTCTAGTCAAGGCCAAGGGGTGCTGGTCGAGGGCCAAGCGAGGCCTCCATCCAAAAGGGAAGGAAACTTTGGTGGAGCAAGTTCCCATCAGAGATTAGTGCTGATGGCTGACGGAAAAGGCGCTCCTGAACAACGATCTCCCTTTCGAGGGCGAACACATGTCCGGATCCGCGGGGTCGCGGGCTGGGCCCCTGGGCCACGATCCCGCGGGCACAGGGCGCTTTTGTTGCAATTGCCTCTCGCGGAACGTATCTGTGCGACCGCGTATCCACGGGATCGAGCCTCGAAATGCAGACTGCAGACTGCGAGGGCACGGATACAGCTAGGTCCGCCGCTCGTCACCTTCCCCTCCCCTCTCCTCCTCTTCCCAAGATCGATGAAAAGAAAACGGTTTCAACGCGCACATAAAACTTTCCGCGCGGATGTTTTGGACCTGCGGTGCACCCCTCGGGCACAGAAATTGCGGTGCTGGTGCGGCAGATGGGTGGGCGGCCTGTCCAAGAAATTCGTGCGGACCTCCGTGGGTTAGGGCATATGAAATGTTTTGTTATTGTAAAGGAGGGGGCCTACGTACTTGAGCAGCCTCCGCGCTGCGAGCCAGGCCAGGGTGTTGGCCAACCACACCAAGCTCGGGTTCGTGGATGGGCTTGCCGAGAGGTTGTGGCCGGGCTGGGTGAATGAGTTCCCTAACCAGCAGCATAAGGAGTAGTTTGGGTCCATCTGGCGAGAGAAATAGGGCCCTGGGACACACAAATAAATATACACAAATAAAAGGATCCCCCATATTTTCCTATATTTTCTGAGTTTTTGTCTTCCCCACTACTTCCCATAGTTTCCCATATTTTCCTGGGAGTCGACGATTAATTGTGTCTGTGTGTGTTTTTTCCCTCCTGATTTTCGACTTTCGCGGGCGATTTTGTCTGTCGCAGTCGTCCTGGCTGGGTGGCGACGGCGCTCCCGCACACGCTGACGTTCGGCGCCCGGGGTGATATCGCCCCACTGCGTCGGGGTGTTTTGCACGGAGATCCCTGGGTGGCGGGCGAACGGAGGCGACGATCGGGGTGCATTTCGGGGGGGGGCGGGGGAGATTCGGTCTCTTTACAACCAGAACAACCACTTTACAACCAGATGGGTTACTTTACAACCAACATAGGATTGGAAAGTATGTTTTCTCATCGAGAACGTCCACTTTGCAACCAGAACGGCCCACTTTACAACCAGAGCGGACCACTTTACAACCAGAACGGGCCACTTTACAACCAGAACGGACCACTTTACAACCAGCTCAGAGTGGCCGTGCGTGTTTGGGCGTTCCGCAAAGTGCTCCAGAGCAAGTGGGCGCTCTGAAAAATGCCCCAGAGCAATTGGGCGCTCTGAAAAATGCTCCAGAGCAAGTGGGCGCTCTCAAAAGTGCTCCAGGGCGCGCGGACGCTCTGAAAAATGATCCAGAGCACGTGGGCGCTCTGGAGCCCGAGCGCCTGAACTCTCTGCGCAGGCCCCAGCGATGCCTCTGAACCCGAGCGCCTGAACGCCCCGCGCAGGCCCCAGCGATGCCTCTGAGCCCGAGGACCTGGACGCTCTGCGCAGGCCCCAGCGATGCCTCTGAGCCCGAGGACCTGGACGCTCTGCGCAGGCCCCAGCGATGCCTCTGAGCCCGAGCGCCTGGACGCTCTGAGCAGGCCCCAGCGATGCCTCTGAGCCCGAGCGCCTGGACGCTCTGGCGCTCTGAGCCCAGCAGACTAAGACAGGGCTTGCTAGCAGGGGCCAAGCGGCCTCAACAAGGGCCCCGTGCTCGCACGGGAATAAGGCGACAGCATACGTAGGAAGGCTCAGGGCGACGCGCTGCCCATTTTAGGGATCACTCACAGGAAGCGAGCCCAGTGGCCTCCACAAGGGCCCAGCGCTCCAGGGAACTAGGCCATTGGCACCGCGGGTCTCTTGGGCCACGTTGGCCCCTGAAGCCCCACGGTGTTCTGCAAGGGGCTAAGTGCGCCCGCTCCAGTTGGCCCCCTGCTGCTCCTCGTCTTGGAAGATCGAGGTTCAACGTCCCGAATAAATGCAACTATTTCGAAGATCGTTTCTTCCAGCGTCAGCCACGGTGCCAGCGCAGCAACGCAGGTATCGTGCTCGGGCAGCAGCCTCAGCCACCGTGCCAGCGCAGCAGCTTGAGCCACCGTGACAGCGCATCACCGCCACCTTTGTGCCTGCTACCACCACACTTACCGCTGCAGCCCCGCTACCTCCACAATTCCGACTGACCCCCCGCTACTACCGCAAATCCCATTGCAGCCCAGCTACCACCACAGTTCCCACCGTTGCCTGGCGACCACCACAGTTGCCACCGCAGCTTCCCAACACCATGCAGTTCCCATTGTAGCCCCCGCTTCCACCACATCTCCCACTACAGCTTTCCACTGCCATGCAGCTCCAGTCTTGGACGGGATCATGGTTTATTCGTATGTCCTGCGCGACTAGCCTTCGCCCGTCAGAAAAAAAAGGCAGAGCAAGCAATGGCAGAACTGACCGACAGAGCTTAGAGAGCAGGTCAAAACTCGAATCCGCCCACCAGCACGCAACATGCCATAGCGCACCAGGTCGCCGCATCGCCAACTCGTGCGCAGTGCTTCTTCGTGCGCGATGGGCAACTTTACAACCAACATGCCTCAAAGAGCCCAAAGCCACCCTTGCGCTTGCCCACGGAGATTTCAGGGAAAGGCACGCGTGCATTCAATATGTGTTTTTACTTGCCTGGTTGTAAAGTGCCCTTCCTGGTTGTAAAGTGCCCTTCTTGGATTTTATAAGCTGGTTGTAAAGTGACCCATCTGGTTGTAAAGTGCGCTTCTGGTTGTAAAGTGACCCACACGCGGAGGCGGGGGGGGGCAATACACCCTGCGAAATGCTTAAGAAATCATGGGTTAAGAAATTCATAGTCTCAGAACTTGAATAAAAACCCAAAAAATCCATACAAATCTTAGGATTTACATTGAAACATTAAGAATAATCGAGACTCTGGCCGAAAACTTGGGTTTTCTTAAACATCGCTTAAGGTGTACACGCATCCAGGGGCGCGGACGGCCCATGCCTTCGGCGAACTCCCTGGCGAGCGCCCGCCAGTGCCCGCCCCTGCGCTCTTCGCCTCCCTCCGCCGCCTCCGAGGTGCCCTCGGCACCGCGCCCGGGCGCGCGCGGCGAGCTCTCCTCTCCGCCGCGGGCGGCGTCCCCCCCCCCCCCCCGTGGCGCCACGTGCTCGGGTGCGGTGCCCCAGACGATCTACCTCCCCGGGGCGTCGGTTCTCGGCTCGTTTCGGGGGGGCGTAAGACCCGGGTACAGGGGACTCGGAAATCCCCGACGAGGTCGTCAAAAAAATGACGAGGCCGAGCCTGCATTTTGACGAGGCCTCCCGCTGCAGACATCCCACGAAACTCCTACTCGTCAAAATCCGAGTCGCGGTCGTCAAAAAACGATGTCGAACCCGAGTCCTGGCAAACCCAGGTCTTACGCTCCCCCGATCGTTGCAGAGGAAGAGGATCGGGGCTTAGGTTCTCGGCTCGGGGCTTGGGCGCGGTGCTTCATGGCGGGAAGAGGAGGTAAGGAAACAGGCAACGACATCGACATCACCACACGTACAAAACCAGGAGGTGCGCGCGAATTTCCCGGATCGGCGCTGGACCCCCCTCCTTACCGCGCGGAGCGCGCCAAGGGCGGCGCCAGAGGCGCCGCCAGTTTGACCCCGGCGCCGATCTGAGGAATCCGCGCGGACCTCCGAGGCTTTATGTTTGTCATTGCTTGTTCCCATAGGAGAGGAGGGTACCCGTGGTCACGACCGGGGTCCCCACGGCAATTCTGAAGGACCACCGCAGGTGACGGCGACGGTGCCAACGACGGCGGCGACGACGACGACGACAAACAGGCGGAGGAGAAGGAGGAGGAAGGGAGAAGGAGAGGGCAAGGAAGGGAGAATGATGACGAGGAACAAGAGAGGGAAGGGGGAGGAGAGGAGATGGGGGGAGGAAGGGACCAGGGGCACCGTCTTGACATTACCCGAGGCATCGGACGTGTGGGTTCGAGTGAATATCGGGTGCTGTTAGAAGTGCCCCTGGCCCATGCCCCCAGTTGTTCTCGCCATTTTGGAGCCCCTGGGGCCCCCTGGGCCTCGTGAGGGGTGCTCTGGACGCCGTGGGGGCCACCCTGGAAATCCTGGGGGCACTCTGGGCCAGGGACACTTCTGGCAACACCCGAGGAATTTACGTCGGATCGGGCTGCATCGGCCATGTTACCGGCATCGATCGCACAGCAGCGCCATGCAAGCGTCGGGCCGCATCGGATGGTCGGGATATCAGAATCGAGTCGGATCGGGCCGGCCGAAAATCTGATCGGATTGATCGGATCGAAATGGACCCTGCCCGGGATGGCCTGTACAACGATGCTGGGGCCGGGATGGGCCCAGCCAGGATCGGTGAGGTGGTCAATCGACGTCGCCCGACTCGTGCTGCGCACTCGGGGGGCTCTGGTCTCTGTCCCGCTCGCGCGCGCTGTGCGCATCGGATCCGCGTCGAGTCCACGAGTCCGCGTCGAGATCCGCGCCAGACGCGAGAGGAGGCCCACATCTTTCCAAGGCAGGATGCAGGGCCCCCGAAGATGCAAGCTAGAGCACCTTGTCAATCCCGCCGTCCAGCTGGGCGGAGGCCCACCCGAACTGCGTGGGGTCGAGGCCGCGGAGGCGCATCTCCTCGGTCATCCATGAGTTGTGACTCTTCTCGCAGCCGTGCTCCAGCAGAAGCGCGCCCGCGACGTTGGCATGCAGCAGGTGGCCGAGGAGGACCCGGGTGAACAGCTGCTCCTGGGGGGACCCTCTGGTACCGCTGCCGCCACCCCCTTGCCCTGCCCAGGCGTGCGGGCTGCCCCACATCTCCAGGCGAAAATCCGGCCATGGCGACGAGGGCCTCCCAGGAGGCCCCCGAGGGCGAGGGCGAGGGCAGGGGTGGACAGGTGTAGGGCATAACTACAGTCGGGGCGCTGACCTAAGGAACCCCAAATGAGGAACGAGACCCCTTTTCTCTAGTAAGCTTCGACTTCCCACCGAAAACCTAAGGACAACCTGAGGCAAACTGTGCAACAACAAAGGAACACCGAGCCCCTCCTCAACGAAAAGAGTTCCTTCTTCGGCGCTGAGTATCGTTGAACCGATCCCCAGCGGCGTGGCCTGGGCCCCACTGCCTATTTATCCCCCTAGATGGGGATTTAGGTCGTTCCCTTCGGGTTTCGAGGGGTGTATCCCCAACTGGGGGTGTAATTTGGCAGGGGTCTCGAAGGGGATGGGGATTGGAATGGGGATCGGTGAAAGTGAAACGATACCGAAGCGCCCCGACTGCCAGCACCGCTTCCTCCCCTTGAGCTCCCCGTCCCCCGAGTAGCCGTTGCCGCAGCCCTCCGTGTGCGGGAGCGCCGCGAAGCGGTCGAAGGCGCCGCCCAGCAGCGGCCCCTCGGCGCCGCCGCCCGCCCGCAGGGCGTTCAGCTCCTCGGCGGCGCGCCGGGCGATCTCGCCGCTGCACAGGGAGGTGGGCAGGATGAGCCCCAGGCGCTCGGTGCCTCGGGGAGCACGGGCGCGTGTCGAGGGCACGCCGTGGGGGGCCCGTCCGCGTGCGACAGCGCGGAGGAGGGGGAGGAGGGGGAGGAGGGCGGGGGGGGAGGAGGGGGAGGCGGAGGAGGAGGAGGAGGAGGAGGAGGAGGATGTGGAGGTGGTGGTGGTTGAGGTGGAGGAGGAGGAA